GGTGGCGGTGCGAAGACATGCCTTTACCGTCGCGTCGATAGGCACTCTCATGATTCCGCTTTGCAAAGTCGTTCATTGTCGACAGGCCAGTCTTACAGGTCATCCGAAGGCGACGCATGGCGCCCCGTAGCGCCGACTAGCTTCGCTTCGGCCGCGGAAGCGACCGACCCGTTTACCCCGAGCAGGGTGTCCAGGAACAGCTGCAGGAAGGTGTGTGCCTCGTGGGTGCTGGACGGGCTCCGTGGGTGGTGGCCGCTGCTGCGCTTAGTCCGTTGCAGGTTTCTGTGGATTGTCGCTCGGAGGGGTTCTGCCAATGGGGGCGTGGGTGCACCGCGTTTTCCACCCAACGCCTCTTTCACGGGCACCTTCTTCACGTGTTTGCCGCTGGGGTTGCTACTGATCTTTTTTCCCAACGCTGCCGCTTGATGCGGTAAACTTACACGCGGCACCGCATCTGCACACGCACATATATATATATATATATACAAGACTGCATTGGCGCTTCGCGCCATGCACCTTGGTCCTTCAACCCTTGCGCGCGTTGGCGTCTAGCGCGGCCCTCCACGGTCTTTGAACCGCGGTTGGTTCGCGCCCAGTTCCCGGACCTGCACCTTACTTGCTCGCGCCCTCGCTCTGCTGGTCCGCGCGCCACTGGGACTCCATGAGAATGTCCCAGCGGACCGATCAGCGGCGATGAGAGCGGCCGTGGAGGCTCCGGAAATACAAAACGTCGGACAGAAGGGGCGGGAAAGAAGTGGAGGACGATTTGGGGAGGCGCGGCGAAGGGAGGAATATCATGAGGTAAGGTAAGGTAAGGCACGCATTGGGGCGGCGTGCTGTCTCGACTTGCGCATGGGGGTGAGACAAACGGAGATGCCTTGCGATCACATATGGAAACAGACCAGGGGGCTGCGGCTCCAAGGACTGCCAGATCATGAGGAGGAAGAGGAGGAGGGAGAGGGATAATGAAGGTGCCGTCGGGGAGCGGCAAAGCAATTTGTCCGCGTCGCACCGAGAGGCGCCGCTCCAGAAACCGCCCAACCCCGCGGGCGGCCTCTGCCCGAAAGCCGAGAGCGGGGGGCCAGAGGCAGGGGCGGCAGCCGCAGCCCAGGGCCCGCGTGGCCTACGCGCCACCAGCGGCCGGCCCAGCAGCGACCTCGGCATCGCTGTCGTCGCCCGCCGCCACGTCGCTCTCGTCGCCGGCCTCCTCGTCTGGGGGGGCCGGGCCTGCGAGCCGGGAGAGCAGCTGGCTCTCCTCGCAGAAAGCGAACTGCATCCCGTAGTCCGGGAGCAGCGCTTTGTCCGCCCACTTCAGCAGGCGCTCCAGCGCAGGGGTTTTGTGGCGCTTCGTGGCCAGCTTGCGCGCCGCCGCCAGCGCCTTGGCCCGCTCGCCAGCGCACTGTCGCAGCAGGGCGGACCAGAGCTGAAGGGCGCCGGCGGTGCTGCTGTCCAGGGCGGCCACCTTCCGGACGCGCCGGCCCTTCGACGGAGCAGAAAAAAACACACCAAAAAATTTGACTGCTATTCGGGTCTACATTGCTGCGCGAGGGGTTTTTTCTCCAGTGGGCGCTGATCCGGGTTCGTGCCAATTCGCGCGTTCCCCCCTGTACGGGGGAGGCGTGATCTGTATGAACAGATCCTTCAGAATTAAACGTAGGGCGGGTGGGAGGAATTTAACGCGTGTGAATGGTGTGTTTTTTTACGCTCCTGACTTGTTTCCCTGGCACCCACGCCGTGGTCCCCAGGCGCTGGGAGAGCACCCGGCGCGGCCCAGACCCCGCGAGGACCACCTCTGGCGTGGTGGCGTACCGGCCGTGGTCGCTGCACCGACTCGTCGGCCGGCGGAAGCGCAAGAAGTTCTTGGCCCGGAAGCTGCGCCAGCCAGGGCTTGCTGCAAGCACGGTGGCCAGCTCGCCCGCCGGGGCCGCCAGCAGCTTGTCCACCATGCCGCCCTTCTGCTCCAGCTCGTTCACCGCCTCCTGGAATCGCCGGCTATTGGCGGCGATCTTCCTGAGCTCGGAGGCAGCCTGCGGCGGGCGTCAGAATGGCCCGCGCGAGCTGGGGCGAACGGGGGGCGAAGGAAATTTTGGGGCATGGGAAAATAATAATAATACGTGCGTGGAAAAAACTGCCCCTGACGAGTGTGGAACACATCCGCCGTGTCGTTGCGAAAGGCAAGTGCTGTTATAGAAAAACATTGTCGCATGGCTGGGGATTCTTCCGAGGCCCGGGGCCTTCCGGGCAGACAACTTTTTCAACCTTGAGTGGGCGAGGACCCACGGGTTGAAGCTCGTTCCCACCAAGTCTGCCGGGTGGCCCGTGTGCGCGGCGAGCACGGCGCCCACCTTGGAGGTCACGCCCTTTTTCGTGGCAATGTCCTCGACGTTCTCCTGCAAGATCTTCAGGGCCACTGGACTGTGGAGGAACTCCATAACCAGCGCGAGGGAGTCGCGTGCCTGGTACGGGGCCTGGCCCAGAATGGTCGTGATTGCTCTCGACGTCTTGTCAGCCATTTCCAAGCACACCTTTTCGTGTTCTATGGTTTTGACGAAGATGTCCGGTTGCCCCGACGTCTCGTTTCCGGCGGCGTCGTTGTACGAAGCCCAGTCGTCCCACGACACGGACACCGACCGCCAGTCGTTGATGGCCGGAAGAAGGGCCTCGTGAAGGGCATGTGGAAGGGAGGAAAGGGAGGAGGAAAATAAGGAATATGAGGAGCGAGGGGGGAAAGGACGAGGAGGAGGAAGAGGAGGAACAGGAAGAGATGCAGACCAAGAACGAATGCCTTCAACTCTGCTGGGCTCAGCGTTGCCATGTGCACGTCCGTGCCCGGCACGAGTTCATTGCTCGGCTGCAGGTCGCGCCAAAATGGCGGAAGGTGGCATTTCGATAAAGTGCCTTTGAAAAGGCTGTCGCGCACGAGTTGGCGCGTGCAGCGCACGAGCCAAAAGGAAGACCAGAAGGCCTCCATTGGGCTTGGGCCAAAGTGGCTACACAAGGGGAGGAGGATAAGGAGGGAGGAGTGAAATCGTTTGGGGGCGACCTTCGCTGCCAGGGGAGGGGAAAAGCATTCCTGCAGGCTTTCACGAAGCCTCGATCCTGGAAAAACGTGCCCCCCGTTCTTATGGCTGTGGCGGTGGCCACTGGTCCGAGAAAATTTGCCCTCAGCCCCGAGAGGATGCCATGGGGGCCCCAAGAAGACCCAGGATGGCCCCAAGAGGTTCCAACAGGCCCCCAAGAGGCCCTCAGGAAGTCCCAAGCGCTTTCAAGAGGCTCCCAAGAGCCCCTGGACTGCTCCCCGGAGGCCCCCGAGAGCGTTCCGAAGAGACCCCGAGAAGCAGTTCTGAGGACTCTGATCCACGTTAGCGTCGTCGCCGTCGCCGCCGCCGTCGTCGTTCCCTTTCAGGGTCGGCGGCACCGGCTGTAAGGCCTTCGCAGTAGTGAAACGAATGCAATAGGTCGCAATAGAAGCGCGATGTGAACTATTGGCGTTGACCTGTAATGCGACGACAATGCAACGCACTGCAATTCGACGCGAGCCATTGCAAACGACATGCATCGCAACGATGCGCACATCACCACATGGGGCGGCCATGCATGGAGAGGTCGGTTCGCGCGACCGTTGAGATGTTTGTGCCACGAGGGGGCCCTCTCTACACGTTCATTGTTAATTGGGGTGCGGAATGGTTTGGGCCATATTGAGGCCGTCTGGTGACTGTGTATGGGCGGTCCTCGGGCGAGTGGGGGTTCATTGCGAGCGCCAGGCAGCCTGTTCTGGGCGAGGCGTGCAGACCTCGAGGGGCCCATGGATCGATGTGTGCACACCGATCGTCGATTATGCACTCCGCTATGCAAGCCCCAGGACGTTACGGTGGTCAGCGTCGATCTCTCTTGGAAAGCCCAACTGGCTTTCGGGGGGTTCAACCCAGCGTCCGCTGGCATGCGCTGGCCACAGCGATAGCCGCTTACATCCGCCAGCTTCCGCGGGCCTTTTGCCAGCCTCCGCCGAGGGCGAGAAGACCACTTTGGAAGTCCTCGAATACGAAGCTCTGTCTGGAACGCTCTCCATGGGATTAGGTGCGGAGCAAAGCCGGGTGGGCGCGGAGCCACCGACACGCGTGGCACCGAGACCAGAAAATCCACATGGAACGGGAGACTTGCCGGCGAAGCCAGGCGATGCAGCAAGGGAAAGGAGGACGATGGGTGACGAAGTCGAGTGTGGCGGACGGGGGCGGGGAGGAGGAAGAGGAGGAGGAACGCATTAGTGGGGCCGCGTGGCGGCCCCAGGGGTCCTTTCGGAGCCACGTGTGTCGTTTTGGGTATTTGTCTAGGTCCTCTTGGACGGGTTTGGGGGTCGTCAGGGGAGGCCCTGGCGACCTGATGGGGTGTCCGAAGCTGGCAATGCGCGAAGGCTAAGACAGTACGAACCACGTAGAAAGGGGGGGGACCTTTTGGGACCCCTGGGGATCATTGGCGGTCTTTTTGAAACTACTGGGGGCGTCGTGGGGGCCCGGTGGGGTTTCGTGGAGACCTGGGGGGACGTGTGGGGGGCCTTGTGGGGGCCTGTTCAACTTCCCCTTGGTGCTATTTCGGAGATTTTTGGAAGCGCATCGGGCCCCCCGGAGGCTACTTCGGGGCGGTCTTCAAGCATCAGCATAAGTAACAAAGCGAGAAGGCAAACATCATTAATTCGGATCGTGAAAAAATTGGAAATGGTATTTGGACGCGGCGTGGGGGGTCTCCTAGAGGTTTCCGAAGCTGTCATTAACGTTTCTGGAGGCGTCCCGAGGCTCTTTTGGATCGCGAAGGTATGGGAGAAGCCTGAGAAAGCGCGAACAAATGGTCGGGGTCCCGGGGACAGCTTTGCATGACGCGGCTTTATCTGAAGGTATGGCTTGGGAAAAGCGGAAGGGCAATTTGATAAGGAGAGCGGTTTGGGCCGCGATGCAGAGAAAAAAGGTTGGAATCCCGGGTTCACAACGTTTTTTCCGGGAAATCGGCTGCGAACCTTGGATTTGGGGCGATTCTGCTGCCACGGGAAAAGCGTCAGAGCAGATGGGCACCCGCACCGTCTGCGGGGTCATATTAAAAAACGTGCCCGGCCTTGGCGCGCGCCGCCACGTGGGCGCGCGCGGCTGAGCGGAAAAGGGGTACTCGCCAGCGGCCGCGCCTCAACGGCGCGCGGGGCGCTTGCGAACCGCGGGCTCACCGCCAGCCGCCGCCGGGCGCTTCCTGGGGGCCGAAGCCGCGAGCGCCTGAGGGCCGCCCTGCCAGTCGAAGGGGCCCACCGTGATGTAGGCAGAACACTTCTGCACCATGGCGTCCACCACCTTGCGCACGTTCGGCGGCATCGCTGGGTCCAGACGGAAGCGGAACCTGATGAGGTCGGACACCGCCCAGTCGCCCCCATCGGCGCGCGTGCCAGTGCGGTGCACCTTGACGCGCTGCCCGAGCAGGGATGCCGTTGCGCTCCAGGCCGCCGCCGTGGGCGACGCGGGCACGGACAGGTCGGCCTCGAAGAAGGCGTGCTTCATGATGAAAGCGGCGTGGTCTGCGCCGTGCGCAATGGCCGCCTTGACGGCCCCGGACGTGGTGGGCACCACGTCGATGCAGTAGGTCCACGTGCGGCCCTGGTAGGGGTTCGCGGTGCTCTGAGGCGGCATGAGGCCGCGGTTCATGTACTCCACGTTGCGCGGCTTCTCCGGCAGGGCGAGCTCCTCCCGAGCGCGCTGGGTCACCTGGGGCTTGGGAGGGGGGGGGGAAAATCCGAAGTATAATCATATGCGTGTTTAGGTGGGGGCGGGCGTCTTTCGATTTGACGGCAACGTTTCGGCCTGGGGGGGAGCAGAGCGGTTTGGCGGGCCACGCGCCGTAGACAAAGCGTGGCGCTGCGCCAGGCGCGGCTGACCGGGCTGCAAGGACGCCGCGTCGGCGAGGGTGAACCGCACGCCGGCGTCGTGCACCACCTTGCCAGCGATTGTGACCCCAATCATCTGGATGCCCACGTCAGCGGTGTAGAGCGTGCCGTTGGTGCGTGCCCCCGGGGCTGCTTGGGCCGCAGGCTGCGGGGCGGCGGGGCCCACGACGACCGCGTTGACGCTGCGCGCCGGCATCGCTTCGAAGTCTTGGGCAGGGCGGGGGGCGGCCACCGACGAACACTGCGGCAAACTCACACTTTGCAAGCTGGGCGCCGCTTTGGAGCCGAGAAACTGCAGCGGTGAGCAGCGGTGTGCGCGAGAGCACCCGAACTCGTAGGAAATGCACCGAATCCCGGGTTCGCAACCGATATCCGGGGAATTTGGTTGCGAACCCGGGATTAACGGTTGTTCCCTCTATTCGGCAGGAGAAGAGGTCTTGCTTCGGACGGCCGTCAGTGGCGCACGCCTTGCACGTCCGAGTGGATCGGTGCAGCTGGCAAGGGCTGAAGTGAGTTCGATCGTGCATGTCCCCGCAACGAGTGCATTGATAGTCTTTGTGTCGGGGGGCTGACCGTGACTGTGTTTCCCGTCGACTGGCACACGACTTGCAAGCCCGATTGGACTGCTGAAGTTGTGTTGTGGAGAATGATTCTGCAGGCAGGGTCTCGCCACAATCGGAGCAAGCGAATACAGACATCGAGGATGTGCCGTATGCGACAGCTTAAAAATGTAAGCCAACGGCTACGGATGCATGTGTGCGAACACGTGTGGAAAACAATGTTTCCTTAATGACTTGGAAGGGCCCTCGTGAAACCTCCATGGAACGATTATTCTGGGATGCGATAGGGCATAGGGCAGCAAGCATGCAGGCAACGTACCGGATTCTGGAAATGCTAAGGACATCTACCGAATTCCGGGGAAATGTGCCGAATCTCGGGTTCGCAACCGATTTCCCGGGAATTTGGTTGCGAACCCGGGATTTCAAGCATTTTGGTGTTTTGCGTGGGATGCCACTGTCTGGCAAACAACGGAGCAGCGCAGCGAAGCCGTTCCGGAGGTGGCGGTCAAGTGGGGCGATTCAGCAGTTTTGAAGCCTCTTGGGGGGCCGTTTTGGCTGCCTTTTGGAGAGCCATTTTGGGGCCTCGTGGGTTCTTTTTGGGAGTCCTCGGGGCCTTTGGAAGCCTCTTGGGGCCTCTTGGGGCCCTCCTGGGGCCTCCTGGGGCCCACTTGGGGCGGAAAGTTAGATGTTTGAACTTTTGATCGCCCTGTGGGGGCTCGTTTGAAGCTTTCTCGGGGCCCTCTTGGGCCTTCTTGGGCGCCTCTTGGGCTGTTTCGGGGCGCTCCAGAGCCGTCTTGGGGCCGTGTTGGGGCCGTTTTGGGGGCCCCCCGGGCCATCTTGGGGCGCTCTTGAGGGCCTCTAGTTCTGTCTTGGAGCGTCGGAAAGCTAAAATGGCGAGAAAGCAGAAAACATCGAAAAACACATTGGAAAATTGACCATTTCGGCCTCCCGGGGCCGTCTTGGGGGGCTTCTTTGGGGCCGCTTGGGGCGTCTTGGGGGCTCCTGAGGCTGTCTTGGGGCTATCTTTGGCGTCTTGGAGCGCTTTGTGCCTGTCTTGGAGCGCTCTTGAGGCACTCGGGACCGCTTCAATGGGCGTCCGGAGGGTCCCAAAGTCCCAGGATCCCAGGAGTCCGGTTTGGGGGGGGGGGGGGGTGCGGGGTTTTGCGGCCGCCCGGGCTTGTAAAAATATAGGAAGAGGATATATATATATATATATATATATATATATTATATATATATATATATATATATATATTATATATATGTCGAGTAGCACTTACTTTGTGGGACCATTCCAGAGTTAGGGCGTTCCACCAACCAGTTAGTAATGCCAGCGGGGTCAGGTCTGAGTTCTGCCACCTCTGCAAACGGGGCGAACTCAAGCGTCGCATGTGGGAGCGCCGCATCCTGTTGGTTCGGCAGAAACTGTCGGAGCCGCACGCCATGGCTGGCGGTAGCGCGAGGGGTCGTTGCGGTGGCAAGAGGGTCTGAAAACTTCCACCGGCAACGAGTCAGGCTCGCCGGCGGGCGGGGTGATTCCAGGAACGCTCTCGTTCAAAGGATCCCCGCGTGTTTCCCCCGAGTTGTCTGCATAAAAAAAACACTCGCCCATGCTTCGCCGGGTCAGGAGAGCCTGGCGGTGGCGAACAGATGTGATCTGTGAGGTTCACTGCGTCGGTCGCTGCAAATGTGCGCCTTCATCCAGGCATCCCAGCACCTGCATTGCGAGAGCGTGGCCTTTGTTTGGGTGCCGCTGTTTGTTCAGGCGCTGCCATTATTTCGGCTGGTGTCACAATCGGCAGAGTGTGGCTAAGACGCGCTCTGTCATCGTGGCTCGTTAACTTCTAGGGGGCAAACGAACCCACCTCGCGTTTGACCACCCTCGCTTCCAAGAGCTACCAAGCGATGCAACACTACGGCATGCACTGGCCAGGCCACTCGATGGGGAGGGGCGTGGTATGACCTGGTTTTGCCTGGAAGCGAAAGCGGGGCAAGTAATTCACGCTCTGATTTGCGATCCCTGGCCAACAGTCTCAGTCTTCTGCCAAGCTTATCCATATTAGTGTAACATACAAGGCATGCTGTGTACACCCACCTCAGGCTCGCCTGGCAACGGCTATGCCGCGCCAGGGTCGCCGAGAAGCAGTTGACTGCACAACTTCCTTTGGTCTCCTTTCTGGTCTAGGACTGAGTATGCCCACTCTTTCGGGCACCCCTGGTCCAGTCCGTCTCCAGCGTTTCGCGTGTGGTTGGCTATCCTCTTCAGGACCTGCCAAAACCAACCACACGGAGCAGGCCGACGCTGTCACGAACGACGCCTCTGTTTCCGACTGTGCGAAAACACCACGCGTACCTCTTGAATGGAAAGATACACTGTGTCTAGCCGTATTCTGGGACTCCTTCGTGCACACCAAACTCGCCAGAGGTTGTCAAGCCAGGCTCTGGGAACCTGCTGTCTTGGCCTTCAAAGAAAGGAGGAAACAACTGTCTCCCCCATGTTCCCTGCGTCCTCCCGCCCCTTCTCCCGGCTCGCCTCCCCGAGTGCAAGATACAATGTGCTTCACAATCTGGAGCACGCGCGGGCGCCCCGCGACCACTCTGTCTTGGTCTCGACACGGGCGCCGGGGATGCCGGCATAGTGCCCGCGCTGCGCACAGCCAGCGCATCCCCACCGCCCACGTCAACAAAAATATATCAGCATGCACGCTGCGGCAGGATCGCGGTTCATGCTCGAGGTGGTGCCCGCGATCACCTCGCGCTGCGTTTCCCAAGCCTCCTGCGTTGACTGCTCATTTTCAGGAGGAGGGGGAGGAGGAGGACGAGGAGGAGGAGGAGGTGGAGGACGAGGAGGAGGAGGAGTCAACCGGCGCGTTTTCTCTCCTGCGTCATGCATCGGTCCCTTGCCTGCCAGCCTGCCTCCTGCCTCGCCGTCCTGCGCGACCTCGCCACCCCCGGGGGGGTGCGACGTGCGGGACTGTCGCCACGTTCGGGAGCTGAGGGGGGGCCCAGCAGAGCGACGCCTTGCCCAGATCCAAATTCGACCTCACCATCCCTGGGGGGGGGGGGCTGCGAACTGCGACGCTGTCGCCGCTTTCAAGAGCTCCTGGGGAGTCCAGGAGAATGATGCCTTACGCAGATCCAAACTCGACCTTGCGATCCCTGGGCGGCTGCGAACTGCGACGCTGTCGCCACTTTCGAGGCTGCTGGGGGGTCCAGCGGAGTGACGCCCTATGCGAACTCAGACTAGATCTCGTCATCCCTGGGGGGGCTGCGAACTGCAAACTTGTGTTCGCTGTAGGGGGCCTTTTGCTGCCCATCGGAGTGACGTCTTACGCAGATGTAGATTCAACCTCGCCATCCCTGGGTGGCTGCGAATTTCGACATTGACGCCACTTCCGAGGGGCACTGGGATGTCCAGCGGAGTGCCGCTTCACGCAAATTTGCACTCGACCTCGCCATCTTGGGGAACTGCGAACTGCGACGCGGTCGCCATTTGCGAGGGCTGCTGGGGGGTCCAGCGGACTGGCGCCTTGCGCTGATTCAGACTAGACCTCGCCATCTCTGGGGGGGGGGCTGCGAACTGCAACGCTGTCTCGACTTTCGAAAGCTGCGGGGGGCCCGGCACAATGACACCTTACGCAGATCCAGATTCGACGTCGCCATCCCTGGGGGGGTCCGAACTGCGACGGCGTCGCCACTTTCAAAGGCTGTTGGGGGGTCCAGGGGGATGACGCCTTACGCAATTCTAAACTAGACCTCGCCATCCCTGGTGGGCTGCGAACTGCGACAGTGTCGCCGCTTTCGAGAGCTGATGGGGGGTTCATGGGATTGACGTCTTACGCGAACCCCTGCCGAAGTCCTGGCTTCCACAGCCAGCCACGGCAAGCACCGCGGAGTCATTGTCGACGCCGGGTTCAACGGAGAAAATGCAATGGACGATCTGCGGTTGCATCTTTATGCAATGCTTTCCAGGGCGACGGCAGTGGACAACCTGCTGGTGATGCGCGGCACCAACATTGACCTGGCAGTGCGCCTACGGGCGTTTAGCTCCCGCGCTCAGGAATGCAAGAAGGAGGTGGAGAAGTTGGCGCAGCTGGCACTTTCTGCGTGCCCCGAAAGTGGCGCACCTGACGCGGCTTAAGCATGCGGCACACTTGGCGTGTAATGAGCACGTGGCACGTCTGGCGCACCAAGCGTGCCTGGCACGCTTGGGCCTCAGGAGCCTGGCGTGCTTGGTGCGAATGAAGCGCCTGGTGCGCATGGCGCGCCTGGCACTCGTGGCGCGCCTGGCACGCGTGGCGCACCTCGCCCAAATGTCGCGCACCTGGGGTCTGGGTTGGCTCTCAGTAGCTGTCCATCCAAAGGCGACCGCTGAATATGCTGAGTCTCGGGTACTACTGTATTGGGAGGGCGGGCGCGAGAGAGCCAAGCAATTTGCGCCTGGGAGAGGTGTCTTGCCCCCTCCCCCTACCCCCTGCCCTGGCCTGGACGGGGCGCCCCGGGACTTGAGTTAAAGATGGTACCAAGAGGGCCTCAGGGAGCTCGAGCTACCCGCAGATAGCTCAAGATGGCTTCCAACATGATGCAAGCGGCACCATGACCGATCCCAAACGGATCCAAGTGGCCATGAAATTTCCCAAAGCGGCCCCCACATGTTTTACCCTTCAAGCACCTAATGGACATGAATGGTGTATTGCTGTATGGCCTTTCCGCTTTTGATTGCCTCCCC